GGACAGTTAAATTTTTACGGCAACAATTTTGCTTCAAAATTTTAGTGCATCGGTGCATTGTAGCAATGCATCGGCGCACTGTAGCATTGTTCTCGGTACTGTTCATGATTGTTCATACCGTATTTTACTGTTCATGAATACGTAGTTTCCTTAAATGTTTTTATAATGAAGAATAATTCAATAATATATCATCGTATTTTCTTAAAATGAGTTCAAATATTTGGTTATTTCGAAAGAATATCGTTTTAAAAAGTTAATGTGACATCTTAGACTCGTATCCGGGTCGGGTACGGGTTGGGGTATTACAACATTGATTGTTTAATGTTTAGAAACTAAATTTTACAATCAATTTTATCAAAATACAAAAATTTTCAAAGATTTTTGAATTTTCAAAATTTGTTTTTTCGAAAATCATTGATTTAATTTTAAATTTTGATGTTTTTGATTTAATTACATTGTTTTGAAAATTACATATTATTATTGGAACATTGTTTTCAAAAATAATTTTCAAACATTGCCCATTAGGATTCGGTTTAGAGAATCTTGAATATTGAGGACTCTTATTGAGTTTTGGGATTGATTGAATTGCATACATGTGTTTTTAAATTGCAGGTATCTATCCTATTCCGATTTCTTAAACCATGTCTAATCCTAAACGCCCTAGGTTGTCATCGAGTCATTCGAGTCAAAACCGACCTCTCATTCCTCCTCCACCACAAAATCCAAATCCAAATGAACCCGAATTAACCATTCTTAATTCTTGCTTCAACCAACCAGGTCGTCGTGGATAAAAACTCTATCATAGGTTCGTTGATTCTTTCCAATCGTATAAAATCCGAGAAGAACGTATACCCTCCATTTAATCAATGGTGGATATGAACTTCGAATATCTTTCTATCCTTCGTTCTTGGAAGTTTGATAAACTGTGTCAAATTTAGCCCATCGTTTATCACTAATTAGTCCGTATTTTCTACTCCAATGCGGTCTGTATCCAAAATGATAGTCAAAGTGCAACTATAGGAATTCGATCCTATCTCTTTGGTGAATTCATCTATATTGACTCGGATACAATAACTAATGTCTTTGGTTTAGACAATGCGAGTCTTGATAATGAAAAAGAGATTGTGGCTACACTCTATCAAGCTAAAGGTAGTGTTAGTACCTTAAGAACTTATCACGAGCGATTCCTTCACTTGATGATCTCTTAGTGGTTTAGTCCATCCGGAGGTAGGTGCTTCTCTCTTAGGGTTATAGATTTATGGTGGATACATTGTATCTAACATAATAAGAAAATAAAATTTCCACAGATTATTTTTGGTGAGCTAGTAGATATTGTAAACGTTGTCTCATCCAAAAATTTAGAAACTTTAGTTTACGACTATCTCCTCAGTAATCTATTTATCAAACTCGTGCTTAAGGTTTCGGTTGATATTCCCATCCCTCTCCATAACCAAATAAATCTCACATCCTTAAAGAAATCGAGATGAAAAAAAAGAATGTGACCAATGGGTTTGAACCTCTGAGAAAACATCGGGAGCAAGTTCTTAACGAGCTCCACCTCCTCTGACACCGGCAGATGATGATGATCTAAAGCTTCACTAACTTATGCAAGATATTGATGATGAAGCACCCGAGGACGAGCCGACACAGTAAGAGGATCGAATACCTCCATATTTTTGATTATTTTTGGAGTCATTTGATCTAAGGTTTGCATCCATAGAGTCTCATCTAACTGTTATGGGAGCTCAACAACGGGAGATGAATGAACGTTTAGATGCGCTCACACTCAAGATACGAGCACGTTATCCTCCTCCTTTTGATCCTCCTTTGGATGACTAGACCTATCTTTCTTTAGTTTTCTTGGATTTAGAACATATGGATTATTATGGATGATTATGGATTATTTTGTTTTTTGGATGTCATGGATGTTAAATGTTTAACTTTGAATGCTTATATTTATATATTTGGTTTGGTTGAATTTTTAATTTGAGCTTAATGTTTATTACGTTTTTGCATCATTTACATATTAGTTGTAATATGACCAATTTACCATTTCACATTGTTTATGAATATTGAATTATGAAACTAATGACTAACCTTTCTCTTGATTGTGATCTTAGCAGCTTAAGCTATATTTATTTAAATCAATTGGCTAATATTATAAAATCTTGTTTAAATTGTTTTATAGAGTCTTTTTGATTTAACAAAAAGGGAGAGAATATAGTAAGGGAGAGTAATTTTTACTTTTTATAAATTTAGTTTCAAAAATGATTTTCAATGAAAACTTAAAATTTTCTTAAATGTTTTGTTATATTAAAAAGGGGGAGATTGTTGAAAACATTTTGATGTTTCGATATAAAAAATTAAGGGTTATTGAATTTTAAGATTTTACAATCATTTTTAAAGTATATTCGATTCAATTATTCGAATATCAAAATATTACTCCAAGTTTTTTTTTCAAAGATCAATTTCAATCCTTACCAAAGTGTAAAATTATGTTTTAAACTTAAAATATTTTTGAAACAATTTTACAAAGTATTTCAAACCAAAATCGAGCCAAAAATCAATTTTATGAAGGGATGTACCGATGCACTCCATGATGCATCGATGCACACCCATTTCGAATGCATTTTGTGTACCGATGCACAAGCCATGCATTGATGCACTCTTGAATCTTTTGAAACATCGAATGTAATTAGTCTACCGATGCATCCCTAGTGCACCGATGCACTAAGTCTTATAACGGTCGAAATATTTGAATTTTACACATAGTGTACCGATGCACCTTGAGTATGCATCAATGAACACACGCTCTGAAATGTTTTATTTAATTGTTTTCACACAATAACAACTCTATTGACTTCACCAATGATCCCCAATGTTCAAAATTGATTCAAGGTGTATTTAAACAAGCTTATGAGCCATTGATCAACAATAATTGTGAGAAAAACAAAGAGAAAACTTTAAACATCAAGTTTGAGCAATTCAAGCCAATTTTCATTCAATATTCATTTTTTCTTTCAAGAACACCATTTGTACTCAATTGTATTCATTATTGAGTGTTCTTTCTTTGTTCTAAAATTGTACAAACATATTGCCTTGTGAGGTTTTTCTGTAAGTTTACAAATTTGTGTATTTCTCTTTGGGAGAGAGTGTTCTCAAGAATTTGGGGTATAATTCTTGAGGGAGTTGTAAGGTTACTCTCTGTCCACAAAAGAAAGAACAAATTAGTGAATTTATTGGAAAATCCTTAGTAAGGATAGCTTAGGTAGTGGACGTAGACTTTGGTTGAGAAAGTCGAACCACTCTAAATTGCTGTGCAAATATTTTCTATTTTCTGCAAAAGCTTCCACCAAAATTTTAATTGCCAATTCATCCCCTCTTGGCTATTTCGTCGATCAATTAACTTAATATATTGCCCCTGAACATCAACTCGTGTAGTTTTTTTGTTGTTTTTTAAATTAGTATTAAAATAAATTTTAGTAATTATGATGATTCCCAAGTTATTTATTCATCAAACCGAACAATTAATTATCATATTGTTTTAGGATAACTTAAACAAATTAATAATTTAAACTTAATTAATAATTTAAACAAATTTAAAAAACAAGAATATTATATTAAAATATTATTTTTTAAAAAGAAAATAAAGTTCAATTAACTAAAAAAAGAAAAGAAAATAGAATTCGATTAACTAAAAAATTACAAATTTAATCAACTAATAATGCCTATATTCACCCGTATCGTACTGTGGTGGACAATGAGTCCAACGAGGATTTCTACAAACCAGTCTATATTCGAGGGCATCATTGCCACTCTCACCACCACCACCACCACCATCCACATGGCCAGTAGCACCACTGCCACTAGGACCAAGACTGATGTAGAATATACTCTGCGGAAGCGTATGCTTAATACTGTCGGATTTGAAGTATGTTGCCAATGGTCGAACAGATGTACATGGAGGAGACATATAATATGGTTTAGTTGGTGCAATAGGGTAATAACTATGGACAAAAACCTTTGGATAAGAACAAAATGCGTAGGTGAAAAAAAACCTTCCCTCAGAGATGCCACATGCTGAAATAATGAAAGAGTCTCCATATGCTGAAATGTTGATTGAGTCGAGTGGGTGAATCTAGGTGCCGTCAGCGGTGTCTGATGCTCTATGTGTGCTTGTACCATTCCCGATGATGATGCTTGAGTGTGTTTTTGTCTACTTTGACTAATACCACGTTGCGTGGGGGACAATTTGGAGGAGGCCTATAAATTTCTCGTGCTCGCTCCTCATTGGTCAATATATGTGGCATCCCATTTTGTTCGTACCACAACATGTAATCATCTGAGACATTGTAAGCCAATATGGGTTCATAAACGGGCTTTTTAACGAACCTCATCATCCACTGCATCTCCTATTCCACATGGTACACCTCCCAATCAACATCCGTATTCTCCTGTGCGTTAGGAGATGTAAGGCCCCATCCAAGTTTGTTGTTGGTGGTGAAATTGTTTGGACACGACTAAATTGTTGCAACATGTGATCAGTAGGATGCCACTCGACAATCTCATAAACTATCAACGGGACAACCGACATCCAAATGTGCGAATTGTGACGTATCTCATATGGAGTACGCGCTTTAATAGCATCGTTATTGTACGACGTCCACACGAACTACACAAATATTTATAAACTATGTTAGAAAAACTCGAATAAAAATTGATATTTAATTTAAAAATTAAAATTATAAAATCTATTACTTTGTCTTTCATCTTATCGATTGACAATCTAAAATCATGAAACTTTTTGGTAGGTGGGTGTGAGTAAGTGTGACGATCCATCTATTATTCATATAATAAAATATAATTATTTGTAAAACTAAAAAAATATGTAGCAATAAATATATAAACGTAGGTTATTATTTATTACCTTTAAAGTAGTGGAAATTCTAATGGGGTCAATTGTGTAGGAATCGACGTTAAAAACGACATTGAAACCAAGCTCATGATTGTAACAACATCAAACAACCTCCAATTGCTTGTTTGTTCAGATGAACATCTTTACATAGCTCTCGGAACAAAAAAGCCAACACTGTTGATCTCCAACTCTTATTTTTAGCAGCCCGTAAATCGAGTGGATGATATAACCACATCAGATGCACTTTGTTTCGAGATTTATCAGGCATCAAGATCCCTCCAGTAACTTGTAAAATATAAGCGCGAGCAAATTGCTGTAAAATAAAAATGATGCAAATAGATTAAAAATTTATCGTCAAAAATTACAATAACATAAACTAAAACAAAATTTAAATAATATAAATAAATAAATTAAAATAAATAAGCATAGATTTAAAAAAATTACTAGTTTAATTTTTAGAGCAGCATCGACGGGGAGCTGCGTAAATTTGTCGTCCAAAAATTTAATGTAGATCTTCCTTTCATCCAAATCATCTGGTGTTGGAGTATGTCCGAGTAGTTCCTCACACAAGTTTTTCCAGTTCCCATGAGCAATACTGGTAATAGGATTTTCATCAACAGGCAGCCCAAGATAGTATGTGACATCTTCAAGGGTAATAGTCGCCTCAACACAAGGAAAATGAAACGTGTGCGTCTCCGGTCTCCATTGTTCTAGCAACACATTTATCAATGGAGGAAGCAACTTCGTACCACTAATTACAATGCCAACGTAACCAAAACCGGCTTCGTACAAGTATGGAATAATATCGTCATCAAGGGTCAGGAAACGATTGATAAAACACATCAACGAATGTTCATATCCCTTCAAATAAATAACTTCAAAATAAATAAATAAATAAATTCAAAATAAATAAGTAAATCAAACAAAATTATTAAAGAAATAAAGTGTGCTTATGAAATCAATTAAAAGTGTGCTTTGAAATCAATTAAAAATGTGCTATTGAGGTTTGGTGCATTTAAGAAAAAAGCTTAGCGAAAGGAAACGACAATCCAAAATGTCCTAGGTTGAGGTCCTTAATATTAATTTATCGTTATTGAACTATTATATACGATTTACAGTTTCAAACATATATTAATTAATGCATAAATTTTAATCGAAACAATAAATATAATAAATCATCACAGTAGTATGAAAATTAAGACTAAAAAATATTAGGGAAATTAGGTTTGTTTAAAAATAAATTATATAAAAATAACTATTCAATAATATATAATTTTAAATAATTTATATTCCCGGGATAAAATTTCATAATTGTATATTTCGATAAAATAAATATAAATAAGACAATGTAATATTTTCATAATATTATTGTATAATTTCACATATTTTAATTTTATTCCTAAAATAGTGGCGTTTTCCCGAAAAATCATCGGTGACCGGTATATTTAACGATCTAACACCGGTCAGATTATATTTTCCGATCTAACACCTGTAGCAGTAAAGCGCGCTCTCTGCCCCGCGCTATATGCTGATTTGGCGCCACGTGGGGTATAGTACGCCCCTATACCGCGCTATACGCTGACATGACTTACACGTAGGTATAGCGCGGCCCCTGATCCGCACTATAGCTGTTTATCTGACACGTGGAGTATAGCGCGGTACATGGGGCGCTATACCTTTAATTACGCCCCAATCCTCTCTATAAATACCCTCATCCTCTATTACTTTCATCACATCATATTCTCTCAAATTCTCTCAAATTCCTCAAATACTCTCTCTATTTAAGGTATATTTTATAATATTTTTAATATTATGTATTTAATTTATTTAATCATTTTACTTTATTTAATATTTTACTAATATAATTTTTTTGCAGATATATAATGGAAGGCGATCTACTTCGCTTGGATGGAAATCATATATCTCGACACTTTGCTGATACGAAACATTTTAACGTTTTAATTTAATTTGTTGATTTATTTAATGCATGATTATTAGATTAAGAATTAATTTGTGTAATTATTTAATTTTAGGAGAAGGACTGTGTATTAGATCCTTTTATTAGGAATCTTAAGTTAGTGATACCTAGCTGTGTCTTGCCATATTTAGTAGAGGCTGGATTTAGTTACATAGGTAGATATCATGGTCACTGTAAGATAGAACCAGACCTTATTTCTACCTTAGTAGAGCGGTGGAGGCCAGAGACCCACATATTCCATCTTCCGTGCGGAGAGTGCACGATTACACTTGAGGATGTTGCTATGCACCTAGGGCTTCTGGTGGATGGAGATGTGATATCAGGGATCTCGCAGGGTTCCTGGACTACTTTGTGCTGGGATAATCTAGGACGTGTCCCGGAATGTTTTATAGGAGGTATGATACCGTTAAATTGGTTAGATGCCAATTTTCGGGAGTTGAGCGCAGACGCCTCTGAGGATGAAGTTAAGATATATGCACGAGCATGCATACTGCAGTTGATAGGAGGGTTGCTGATGCCGGACAAATTGCGCAACCTAGTTCACTGCATATGGCTGTGACATCTTAGCGACTTTCGTCTGGCCGGATCATTCAGTTGGGGCTCGGCAGTTTTGGCTTTGTTGTACAGGGAGATGTGTGAAGCCACTGACTACAAAAGTAATGCTATCGGTGGATGTCTCCTGCTGCTGCAATCTTGGCCATGGTATCGATTGCCCTTTTTATGTCCCGTTGTGAAGAACCCATTCGTATTTCCACTACTTCTGAGGTAATTATAAAACTGATTTTGTATATTAATAATTTTATACAACGTATAATAATTTTTTTCCTTGAATAGGTGGTCTACTGGTAGGAAAAATCATCAGGAGCTACCTGATGATTTAGAAAAAATTAGGGTGTTAATCGATCAGAAGGCTGATGCACAGGTATGAATTTTAATGTTTAAAAATCGATTTTAGATTATAGTTATATAATTAGATTATTATTTTGATAAAAAAATTATATAATATTTATTTTAGTTTGAATGGGTGCCATATTGTACTGATAATGTGAGGGCGGTGATCCCACCTGAGTTGAGGGGCCCATCAGATGTTTGGATGGCGATGGTCCCTCTGATCTGTTATGCAACCGTCGAGTGGCACTCTACTGATCGCGTGCTCCGGCAGTTTGGTTGTTTTCAACCAATTCCGGAAGCACCTCGCAATATGGACGAGTTGCATAGCTTAGATAGACGAGGCAAGATAGATACAGATTGGCTGGTGAGGCATCATGAGTGGGTCATGTTGTGGGAGGATCGACATCGGCGCCTTCCCCGTAGAGAGCCCATTTTACTTGACCTCTTGAGTGTTGCAACTCTGTGACATGAAACATTTCATGCCTTCTAGAGAAGCTTGTTACAGACATTCCATTTGATGCAAAAAATTTTCTCTATAGATCTACAACTAATCTAGGGTGATAGACATGACCGCCTTGCATCCAGGTTTGAGCTTGTACCCCGAGCTTCGCAAAAAGTGCCCCCAAACAAAAATATGTAATTTTTACCAAAGCCGCTACATGTAAGTGACGTGCACCCTTTAAGGTTGAATTGACTGCCTCAGCCAAGTTGGTCGTCATGTGTCCATATCGATATCCACCATCATATGCGTTCGTCCACATTTCTTTATCGATGAGGCTGATGTAATCGTATCTTTCCTCGTTCTTCGCCTGCAAATCTTGAAGCATTGATTCAAACGTTCGAGGAACTAGTTTATAACCTGATCAAAAAATGTATAACTTACTAACTTGCTTTCTTTGCAAAATTAAAACGATTGAAAGAAAACAAACTACATCAGTTTCACTTACCCATGCGCACAATTAATTGACGCTCATCATTCTTTTTGTACCTTCCATGATAGTTCGCAGCAATGTGTCGGAGACAATACCTATGTTGGACACAGATGTTTTCCCTTGTGATAAAATGTGCACGTAAATTTCGGAGGAAAAAAGCCCAAGAATCTGTATCTTCTCCTTTGACAAGAGCAAAAGCAACTGGAAGAATGTTGCAATTGTCATCTTGAACAACTGCCAATAATAAAACTTGCTTGTATTTTCCATACAAGAAAGTCATGTCGATCTGGACCACAGGCTTGCAGTATTTGGTAACATTAACGCACTGTGGGTAACTCTAAAAAACCCGGTAGAATTGACTTCGATTGCGAAGAAATCGATCATTATGGTATGCATAGGAGGTTTCGAAGTCCACAATTGTCCCAGGATTCAACGTCCGCACCAGCCTAAACCAACTTGGAAGTTCGTTGTAAGATGCATCCCATTCTCCATGAAGTTTGACAATGACATTTTGTTTTGCCAACCAAGCTTTTTTTTTTACCATGGGCATGATGGCTTGGCATATCATTTCAGAGTCCAAGTTGGGATGATCTTGGTTGGCCCCTAGAACACAACATGTGTGAGGACCGTTGTATACTGTTAGTTCCCATATGTTATTTTTCCTCTTCATTTTCGATACGTGAACCATCCAATTGCATCCGTTTTCGCGTCGGGCACAATAGCATACATATTTTTCGGTCGTCGATCGATTGACTCTGGACTGAACAGAATTATGGATATTGTAATTTTTTATAGCCATCACCGCTTCTTCTTTGCTTGAAACTCCATGCCCAAATATAACTCACCATTATTTATTGATGAGTAATATCCATAGTCACCGAGATGAGGCATATCCGCAAATTCTGGCCCGTACATTGCACCATAATCAACTTCATACATGTGTGCAGGAGGGTCAGTTTGTACCATATTTCCTGGAACTTCATCATCATCAGAGTTGAATTGCGGTGATTCTGGGTGAATGAATAGTCCAGTCTCAGCACCATCCGCACCAGACTCACGAAGCGGTTCTTTTGGTGGAGATGATAGTTTCTCTATGCTCTTCACATTTAGGTCGAAGAACCTACTACTTGCACGCTTTCCCCTTGAACTGGAAGGCATATCGACATTGAGATCGAAAAAGCTCGCAGTCGAATGCCTCCCCCTGGAGCTTGAAGCCATAGTGTCAAATGGAAACTGCACAGATGGTTGCGTCGATGGCATCTCCATATGGTCAAAGAAATTTGCAGATGAATGCCTTCACCTTGAACTGGACGCGGTGTTGCCATACAGGTTGCTCGTTGACCCACCTCGATACATATCGTAAGGAGTTGCGGATGAATGTCTCCCCATTATGGCATTAAAATCATTACACATTACTGTAGTCGGCCTGTCAACTTGATCAACTTGTTCAGCCAGCCCATAGTGGGAGCTTAATGATTGACCCCGAACAACACACACTTGAACAAAATGTGCATACATCTCAATAGCGGCGTCTGAATAATTACTTTGAGCTTCAACCATCATTTGAACATCATCATTGTTCGAAAGTTCGAACGTTGTATAAGTTAATGGAAACAATGAACTTGGAAATCTGTACTGCAACGACGACATTCTTCTACTACTTCCAACATGAATCTTCCTCGAAATCTTCGTTATCAGCTCCTCAAGAGTTAAGTTTTTCTTGAATGATATTTTAACACGCTCATTTGATACGAAAACAACGCCGACTTCATCTTCTCGAATTTCACCATCATAATAAACAATAGCTGAAAGTCGCGCCATTCTTTGAGTTTAAAAGTGTGGCAATATTATATCTGCAAAAAAAAAAAAAACTGAAACAAACCTGATTAAATAAATTATATATGAACAAAATATAACACAATAAATTTTTTACACATCAATGTAAATAATTTAAATAATATAATTTTATATTATTGCCTGTACCGCAAAACTATTTTGACGTATGCTCATGCTTTTCAATTTTACAAACACAAAAATTAATTGAAAATAATTAGTATAATATTTTTTCAAATAATCATAATAAACAATAAGTATAATAAAAACAATGTATAACAAAATTTATAACGAAAAATCGCACGAACTTCTAAATTAAATATGAGAAAATTGCCAGAATTATTACTCGTTGACGGAATTGTTGTTTTAATTTATAAGTTGAGAGGAGAGATGTGAGAAACTTAACCGGGGAGTGAAGGGAATTTATAACCATATAAGGCGCGGTACCTACACCGCGCTATATGTAATTATTCAGATAAAAGGTATAGCGCGAACCAGGGTCTGCGCTAAATATAATTCATACCTCAGGTATAGCGCTAAGCAGGGGCAGCGCTATACCCCTACGTGGCATATAGCGCGGATCAGGGGGCGCACTATAATTCATACCCCAGGTATAGCGCTGAGCAGGGGCGGCGTTATACCCTTACATGGCGTATAGCGCGGATAAGGGGGCGTGCTATACCCACGTGTAAGCCATGTCAGCATATAGCGCGATACAGGGGACGCACTCTACGGCTACGGGTGTTAGATCAAGAAATATAATTTGACTGGTGTTAGATTGATAAATATACCGGTAATTTTTCAGAAAAAACACCTAAAATAATACTGTATTTAATAATTTATTCTTTCCTTAAAAAACATTCAACAAAGAAACACAATTTTCCACGCTGGCAACCTTGTTTCACAGATGCCCAATGAGACTCAATCACACGGATCAAGGTTTTTTCCCTCACTCGCTACGATACCGTTGAAAGATTTTTGTATTTACATATTTACCCTCCGTTAAACCGACCCTGAATCCCTCCCACCTTATGATATTATGCATGTACCCCAATAAAGCCGCAGTATCGTTCCATTATTTCAAATAAAAAAAAAAGTTCCCAAATTTCTTTCTTGCTTAATCAAAACCCTCAAATCTTTCATCAAAGGTAAGACTGGTTTCTGAGAATTCATGATCTGGGTTCTTACATTTCAAGATTCCTTGTATGCCTGATTGTTCTTTCGCTGGCTTATTGTCTTTCTTTCAGAATCTTTGGTTTCAATTTTCTTGAATTGAAGAAAAGATGGCTCGTACGAAGCAAACCGCTCGTAAATCTACCGGAGGAAAGGCACCCAGGAAGCAGCTCGCCACTAAGGCATGGTTTTCGTGTTCCAGATTTTTTGAGCTTTTCCATTAAAAAATTGAAATCTATTGATTTCTTTTTTATAAAACGATTCTTATTCTGTTTGTATATCAATCAATTACAGGCTGCAAGGAAATCTGCGCCTACCACCGGCGGAGTCAAGAAGCCTCACCGCTACCGTCCCGGAACCGTCGCTCTTCGTGAAATCCGTAAATATCAAAAGAGCACAGAACTTTTGATCCGCAAGTTACCCTTCCAGCGCCTTGTTCGTGAAATTGCCCAAGACTTCAAGGTATGAATTCTTTTGAATTTTCAATAAATCAAAGCCCTAATTATATGGGAGTTGGTTTAATTTGTTCAGGCATTATAGTAAGATTGTTCCTTTTGTTTGGCAGACGGATCTGAGGTTCCAAAGCCATGCGGTGCTGGCATTGCAGGAGGCTGCGGAGGCATATCTAGTGGGTTTGTTCGAGGATACTAATTTGTGCGCAATTCATGCCAAGAGGGTGACGATTATGCCCAAGGATATTCAACTCGCCAGGCGAATCCGTGGGGAGCGTGCTTAATTTTCTTCTTTTTCCTATAATACTTCGTTTTCTGCTTCTGGGTATATTGGGCTTTATTTAACCAAACTGGTTTGCACACAATGTTTAAAATTTCTTGTTATGTTAATTCATGGTTTATCTTTACATGTCTAGGTGTTTGCCTTTGTTGTTTAATCAAACTGAGTCCCATTGATTGCGACTGCATTTCGTAATCTCCCCTTCTGCGTCCATCCTTCAGATTTTCTTTCTTTCGTATGTCCAAATGGAGTCAAGAAAGTGTATATATATATTCTTTCACATTATAATATTATTTAATATATTAAATATAATTTCAAATTATAAAATATATTTATAATGTTTTTAAGAAAGTATTTTGAGAATAAAATATTTATTAGAGAAAAACTTGATGGAAAAAGTGAATTTGTACAAAAATTACAGTTAAAAAATCAAATGTAGTAAAATATAAAGTAAGTCTAAAATCAAAGAAAAAATATTTTTTTAGTAAAAAATAGGGACTGAAATTTCACATGTATTCTATAGTAATATATGCCATATATTGGTATATGCTTCAAATTTGGTCAAAAATATATTTAAAATTTGAATAATATTAGATTTTATAAAAAATAATTAGAAATACATAAATATTTTACTATGGTTTAGGAATACATGGTTCAAATTAATTTGAAAAGTAGATTTTAAATGAATGAAGAATTGAAGGAAAAAAAAAGGGGATTAAATTATAAAATTGTTAAAATACCAAGTCAGTTTTCTTATTTTTTGAGTGATACGAAATTTTTAAACAATAATTTGAACTATTTTCTTATTTTTTGAGTGATATGAAATTTTTAAACTATAATTTGAACTCAAAAATAAATTGATAATTTGAGTTAACTCAAATAATTTAAAACACAAAAAAATTAATTTTTCGAGTTAGATCAAATTTTTATCTATATTTAATGAGATAAAATATAATTTTATGTGATTTTTCTGTCATTATATTTTTATGAAATTTAAATAAAAATTGTTCAATACCATATGTATATAGTTATAATATGTTTTGTATATTTCAAATAGAGTACAACAAACAAGTAAATATGATATGTTTTATTAATTTATTTGTATGTATTTTCAGTCTCATTATATCAAGTGATTCATGATATAAATCTCTAAAAGTAAATCATATATTAATTATTCCAGACTATAAATTATAATATATTCAATATCATTCATTATAGTACAATCAATTATGATAAATTTTTTATTGAATAATGTAGTCACAATTTTTCAACCATTATTATATTATTATTATAAAATATTAGTATTATTAATCGGGTCCAATATTCAAACCCTAATATATCATTTCTTTGGGTAGCCGCCGATTTTTATTCTTAGTGGGGGGAGATATATTTTGTTTGAATTTTAAAAGGGTACAAGGCATTTAATGAGTGTTTCATGAATCCAAGTCAACTAACACAAATCAATCTCATCCATTTATAAGACTTGATCTAAGGGTCCTTATTCCAAGGATCATTATCAAACAAACACAAAGTAATAATAACCCTTGGTTAAAAATTGGATCTAAAGGCTCCCATGATGCCATGTCATTGATCTATCCCAACAAGCACAAATCAATGTGAACCATTGGATCTAAATTTGATCCAATGGCCAATGATTGCCCATTAAAGATGATCATTGGTGTTCCCTACATCGGCGCGTTGTCGCAACCGTCTTTCGATTGGGCCCGGAATTGGGCTTCGACTTGAAATAAGTGAATTAGAGTCGTCACCGACCACTTTAAAATAAATTTAGGTGGATCGGACACCATCTTATCTGATCTGCGTTTTACCAGTAACGTGTCGGGTTCGGGAGTCGGTTACGGTCAAGGAAGGATTAGCACCCTTGAACCGCCCTTTCGGTACCGGTTAATTTGTCGGTTGTCTTTAATTGCGAAAATTAAGAATTTAAATTTAAATTTAAAAATTCGATTTGAATTGCTTACCTTTGATTGGTTGGATTTTCTCTAAAAAGGTAAAAATGTTAGATAACAAATAATAAATAAATAAATAAATAAATAAATAAAATAAAGTAAAATAAATCAAAAAAAATGAAAATGAAAATAGATAAAAAAATAAAAAAATATAAAAAATATTAAAATGACAATAATAAAAAATAAAGATAAGTGAAATTAAGTAAAAAAATAAAATAAAAGAATAAAAATAATAAAAAAATAAAAAAAAATAAAAAAATAAAAAAAACAAGATAGAAAATAAAAAAAATAATAATAAAAGGGTTAAATTTAGAAAAAGATAAACAAAAAAAAATGATTTACATTAGTGACCAAAATAAAACACGCATAAAATAATAAATCAAAATTAAAAATACTAAACTTCAATGACCAAAATGCAAATGATCAACAATATGTGCATGATTCGAAAAGTCATAAAACATGAACTAGAAGAGACTCAGGACCAAAACAAAATAAATATAAAATCAGATGCTTAAAATAAAAGAAGAATGATTTCATGATCTAAATAAGGAACCATACAAATTGAAAGGGCTATATGCACGAATATCCCTTTTTACAAATACCATGCGCAGTAACCCCTTCTTAAAACATTGCCGTTTTGTGTCATGGTCCCACCTGCCTGTAGCTCTTCCAATAATTTCACCAGTTAAAGCATCCTTTAGGATCCAGTCTCTTCTGGTTCTGATGCTTCCCCCACTTTGGCACCATGTCTCGATTTCAACCACATCACTCTAAGCTGGGTATTTGTATATTTCTATGTGCGTTCGTGCGGTCACCCATATAAGATGCAATTTTCTCATGGTGGGGGTCGTAGCAAACACATCTGAATGAGAAAGGTCGGAATTCTTTCAAAGTTTCATTTTTTATTTTCTTCTTTTTTCCTTTTCGTATCTTTCCCGATTTTTGTGTGTGGCTTTTCTCTTGTTCCTCCCAACTTATTTTTCCGAATCCTCTCTGATTATTTTCACTCTGTTCGAGACCCCTGAAATGTTTCTAATTTCTCTCTCGTATTTCCCCCAAAATCCTCTCCCCTTTTTCTCTGATTTTTTCCGTATATAAGGTAATGGGTGGTTGATTTAAGTTAGGTAAATCCCAAATTTTTTGGGATTTAGGCTTTGGTGATAGGTTGTTTGTAGGTGACGAAAACCACGTTCGTTGGTGCCGAGAATCACGGCCGTGGGTTGCTATTGTGGCAAGGAGTCTGGTTCGGGTGTGTTCCAGCGAACCAGTTCAGGTCTCATCCGGGTCAGACGAAATTTCGTGTCTACAGCTGCCCCTCTTTGCACATTTTTGTCTAACAAAAATAGGGCAAAGATTAAAAGACACAAATTTCGTATGCCATGAATGTCTCATAGAGTTGAAATCCGATGCTATAACTTGTTTGTCAATTCGGTCTGAATGACTCTCTTGCCGTGAGGTTGAGTCGAACTGAAAAATTTAGAGTACGATATCCTTCATCGTGAAGTTGAAATCGAGCTCAAAGCATTGGGAAGTAGCTCCTAGATTGTCTTCTAGCCCAATATACTTTGTTGTTAAGCTGAAATTTAACCTGAATGAAACAGGTTTTTCATCGTTGTGTCAAAGATAACTCATTCGTCGTGAAGTTGACTTCATATTTTGGGTACGATATCATTCGTTATGAAGTCGAAATCCTAGGTGAATCGGAAAATGGCTATTTGTTGCCAATCATAGTCAACTTCGGTCTTCTTCTCTGGCTAAAGACCTTTGTTTAAAATTCGACTGGAAAATAATTCTTTGATTCCACCCTATGGTTGATAGGCCCTCGAGCTGAATGAAATTGAACTCGAAAGGTCTTCGTTGACAAATAGCTTTTCTTGACTTAAGCTATGCTGCTTGAAAATGGTTATTTGTCACTAAGGTACGGCTAACCCAGATCTTCTTCTCGATTTGAAAACTTCGATTGCAGCCGGACAGTAGTGTGATTGAGGCGTCATCGAGCTTATTGGAATCGAACTCGACAATTTTATTGACAGATAGCCCTTTTTCCTTGAGCTATTTTTTAAGCTTGATTTGCCTCTAAGTTGAATATAATCAAACTCGAAGGTCTTTAGCAGATAGCCCTTCTCGACTTAAGCTATGCTGCAAATGATGTGCCTGGGAGCTGAGTGTAGTCGAACTCGAAGGTCTTTTGTTGGCAGACACTCCTTCTTTGAGTTGGATATCCCTCGTCGTGAAGTTGAAATCCAATCTAGAGATTGATGCTGCTTGTGTGCACGATTCCCTTCGTCATGAAGTTGAAACCGCGGGTGGCCCCTTCGTCGTTAAGCTGAGCTTGGAATTGGATATCCTTCGTCGTGAAGTTGAAATCCAAGTAAGTTGAATTGTTCCAAGTCCAATATCTTCCGCCGTGAAGTTGAAATTGGCTCTGGAACTGGAAAATTATTTATTGACAACCAGCGGTCCCTTCATTGTGAAGTTGAACTTGTGTTGCCTGGAGTCCAATATCCTTCGTTGTGAAGTTGAAATAGGGAAATTGTTTGTTGACAACCAACGGTCCCTTCGTCGTGAAGTTGAACTTGCGTTGTCTGGAGTCCAATATCCTTCGCTGTGAAGTTGAAATTGGGAAATTGTTTGTTGACAACCAGCGGTCCCTTCGTCGTGAAGTTGAACTTGCGTTGTCTGGAGTCCAATATCCTTCACTGTGAAGTTGAAATTGGGAAATTGTTTGTTGACAACCAGCGGTCCCTTCGTCGTGAAGTTGAACTTGCGTTGTCTGGAGTCCAATGTCCTTCGTTGTGAAGTTGAAATTGGGAAATTGTTTGTTGACAACCAGCGGTCCCTTCGTCGTGAAGTTGAACTTGCGTTGTCTGGAGTCCAATATCCTTCGCTGTGAAATTGAAATTGGCAAATTGTTTGTTGACAACCAGCGGTCCCTTCGTCGTGAAGTTGAACTTGCGTTGTCTGGAGTCCAATATCATTCGCTGTGAAGTTGAAATTGGGAAATTGTTTGTTGACAACCAGCGGTCCCTTCGTTGTGAAGTTGAACTTGCGTTGTCTGGAGTCCAATATCCTTCGCTGTGAAGTTGAAATTGGGAAATTGTTTGTTGACAACCAGCGGTCCCTTCGTTGTGAAGTTGAACTTACGTTGTCCGGAGTCCAATATCCTTCGTTGTGAAGTTGAAATTGGCTCTGAAATTGAGAAGTTGTTTATTGACAACCAGCGGTCCCTTCGTCGTGAAGTTG